ATATAAAGATTTTAATAAATATATAATAATTAACAATAAAGTGAGTAAAAATTTAATAAGCAAATGTTATCTTACAACTAATTTATGTTGAATATTTTTTTCAGCCTCTTGTATTTATGATGCCGATCGTTGTTATTTGCTTCTTTTTTATAATGCACAAAGATAAAGTCGATTTTCAGCAGTCAGTATTATCTGTAACGTTAGCCCTAGGATTTAACGGTCTTATTACAGATATTTTAAAACTTATAGTAGGTATGTTATTGTCGAAAAATTTATATGTAACAGATGCATTAAAGCAATAAAAAATATTTACAGTTTTAATAGTAATATCTATATAATAAATGATGTTATATTATTTTTTGCCATCATACTCATCATACTTTTAGGTCGCCCAAGGCCAGACTTTTTCTGGCGATGTTTTCCGGATGGACAAATGAATCCGGAATTTAAATGCACTGGAGATCCAATTATTATTAGAGATGGAAAGAAATCATTCCCAAGCGGACATTCCTCATGTACGTCCAAATATTGCAGCAAATACAGATATTTCTTACATGTAGTTAAGTTTATATTTCCTTATATCTCTATAATTTTACTTGTAAAATGTATTACTTTTTATTTGATGCACTGAGAAAAAAATTGTTTATTTGACTAAATTAATTTAACTGCCTTTATTTCTTTCGTTGGAGAATGAATGTATTTAAGTAAAATGTAACACATGTATAACTTAAATACATAGATTCTTCATAAAAAAAAAAAGACAAAATAAATTATTTTAGTCAAATAAACCATTTTTTTCAGTGTAAAGAACATTCAAAAATAAAATAACGATAATTATTTGTATAAATTATTTATAAAATATATACTATGCTTATAGAAGTAATTTTTGTTCTAGTTGCGTTCGCCAGTTTCGGCTTTATCGCCTTGTATTTAGCCGGAAAATTACATACATTCAGCCTGGCAGGAAAAGGACAATCGTGGAAACTGTGCACGTTCCTTTTGCCACTTTGCATCGCTCTTACTATCGCATTAAGCAGAACGTGTGACTATCACCATCACTGGCAAGGTAATTTTTAAAATCTTATCATTAAAGTAATATGATTCTATTGCAATTTTACATTATAATGACACAGAATTTGTTTCAGACGTGGTGATAGGATCAGTAATAGGCTATTGCTTAACATATGTCTGCTACAGACATTATTATCCTTCATTAGATTCGCCATATTGCGATAAACCGTACGTCGCACTTACATTACAAGTTCAGTCAGATACTGTTAGATCTAATAAGAACGAGCAAATTAAGTGGATATAAAAACATCAGGACTATTACTGCGCCATATATTTTCAACAGTACTTAATACTTTTGTTAAAATCTTTGAGATCTGTATATTTTGTGTATCAGTATATACATTTAAAAATAAATATATGTCTGTACAGAGACGAATTCGGTTATATTAGAATTTATATGTGTGTGTGCGCGCATGTGCGTGTGTGTGCGTATGTGTGTATGTGTATAAGATTTGTTCGTATAGTTGCATTATTTATGCTGTGTGTTTTGTTTTATTTTCTTCTGTTTAACTTTATTATTATTATTATTATTATTATTATTATTAAGATTTGTGATACGATTACTAATTAATTAAAATTTTGTGGGATTAATTAAAATTTCCAGCCGATCAAAAAAAAGAGCTTAAGTCATAATAATGTGATATTTTTAGTATATTTTATTATTTTAGTATTTCGTACTTTAAAACAGATTCGTTTCAAACTCGAAATTAAGCAATTCAATCATAGGATAAATATATTTAGAACTAATAATTTAATTTTAATTTAATTTAATTTAATTTAATTTTAATTTAAAACAGCAATTTTATTATCATCCAAGTTTGATTATCTAATTGTGAAAAAATATGTTCTTATTTATAAAATGTACATATTGAATCGGAATAAAAGTTCAGAGTTATGAAAATTCAAGCAGCTGGAACTTGTTAAAAATGAACACAATTTTATTGAAAAAAAGGATTTCAAAGCTTAAAATCTTTACTTTTGAAAGATCACTTTACCTTTAGTTTCTGCAAGTTCAATAATTTTTACATTTAGAAATCTACGAGTTGGACAAAATGGGAAATTTTCTTCTCACTTTGTGGGCCTGTTACGTGCCTAAAAAAAACTTGCTAAAATTTTCAAATTTCTAATGAAAGTCTTTTTCTACAAAATCGTTTAAAAAAATGTTTCTAAGATTTTTTGTTACCGCGGATTAAATAAAAGGGAGCATTTTGATATTGATTGCCATAAAATTGCCTTGTTAAAAATTATCGTATCGCAATTAAAAATAGATTTTTAAAGCTGGAATTTTACCTCATACACAAAAAAAAGCATTTAAGAGTTTTTGAACCAGACATTTTATCGCGCGCCGATTGCCATTTTGAAAGTAGTATGGTGGCGCGCGAATCGTTCGGTCCGAAGCAGTCAATTCGGACTATTCGGAGCAGTGTGTTGGCACTGTTGGCAGGCGTTGTCGCTCTCGCGCCGACGTAACGTCGAAACGCCGCGTTCTGTCCGCATCGCCGCCACCGCCGCTGCCGTCGACCAATTGCGGGATCGTCCCGCTACGCGAGGACGTGTCTTGGAAAACCAATACGTTGCAGTACCAAAACGTTCGCGTGTTCTCTCGAGTTGTGTTCTCGGATCGCGAGTCGCGAGTCACATTTCCGCGCGACCGTAAACGGCGCGCACGGCGTTCGTCGGTTCGTCGCTCGGTAGTTGCCAGTTCGGTTCGGCATAGTCCACGCCACGAGCAGGCTCGAATCGCGACACTCTCCCCCTTCTCCCTTTCCCCTCGCCGTCGAGGGTGCCGAGGTAAAGGGGAGACCTGAGACCACCGTGTTTAGTGATATCGTGCGGTTCACATCGCGTTTATATAGCATTCAACCGCGAATCCGAAGAAGGAGGTGTCCGCCTGGCACGCGAATAATCGACTTGTATATCCATACACACACTCACACGCACGGGCGTGTGTACAAGTCAAAGTGACATAGTTTGGTACGCTCCCGAGCTGTTGTGCTTTGGTTAATAGAAATGTTGCCCCGTCGACTCGCCGCGATGCACGGTGAGGACTCGTAACGAGAACCGTCATCGCACCTCCCTGCCGTCGCCGTTGCGTTCGCAATTGAATGCAGTTGTAGTCCACGTTATCCCGACGTGATTCTCTCTTTCTCGGCGCGGCGACACATCCCGTCGGCCCGGCCATTCTCGTCGCGCGATCGCTCCGATCGCCCCGTGGCAGAATCCCGTCTATCATCATCTATTCGCGATACCTCGGCGCGCGCGAAGCGCCAGGCCACAGGTAACGGACGTCACGCGAGTAAGATGATCAACATGGAAACGGACAAGATTATCGACGACGCGAACGCAAGTCTGCAGGTGAGTGTTAAAAGAACCACAGCGCGACTTCGCCGAGTCTTCTCCCCTCGTCTTGCACGCGCGAAAAAAAAAGGGAAAAGAGAAAAAAATTACCGCCATCTTATGCCCTCTCGCAACCGATCCGCCGAATCGTCGGCACATGTCCCGACTCTCCAGTCTCCGTTCCGACGCCCCGTGATTTTTGCTTCTGAAATCATGAAAAGCACATTTTTTAAATCGACAGAGAATTCAGAAATGGAACTGCCTCGTATCGAGCATTCGTCGTTTGGCGTCCGTGATAATCGTCGCACCGACGCAACGGAACTCCATCCTGCGTCGCGATCGGCTGCCGTGCGGCGGAATCAGTGCTTTCGGAATTATGATTCCTGCTCTGGTCGCGTCTTCCGCGTTTAAAGGGAAACGAAGTTGTTGCATCGAGTTTCCGCAAAAAGTGGGGGAGGAGGGAGGGAAGGCACCGCAACTTCGTTTCCCTTTAAACGCGGAAGACGCGTCGGCAGCCACGGCAACGACGTGTCTCTGCATGTTTACACGCCGGTCGAAGGTGAAAGGACGATTAGGGTTGCCTCCGTTTTCTTTTTTTCTGGACATTGTCGTTTTCTTTTTTTTTTTAGAGCGTCCTAGATCTTCCAGAAGAATTCCAAAGACGTCCGAGATAATTGTAACATTGAAAAAAAAAAGATTCATTTGATTAAATTAATTGTTTATTTGACTAATTTATGAATTAGAAAAAGATGAATTATTTAAATTCAGCCGAGATACACTGAGAAAAAATTGTTTATTGTATTTAAGCTAAATACATGTTTGTCTTAAAAACGTACATTCTTCAGCGAAAGAAATAAAGGCAAACTAAGTTAAATTAGTCAAATGAATAATTTTTTTCTCAGGTGAATTGTCTAGAGTTCTACATTGAAAAAAAATTGTCCAATTAATTAAACAAATTGTTCAATGTTAAGCAGATTATAGTTGAATTCGATTAAATAAAATTTGTTGAATTAATCAAATCTGCAAAC